GTAAAATCAATACCAAGTACTTAAAGGACATTTTGTCTTTAAATTGAATAATTTACATTAAATTTACAGACTCTGTAAATTGTTCATCTTTTCCAGTGAACCGTGTTTCTGTGAGAGCATACTTTGTCATGTATTTATCAATATGTTTTGACTTGCATGTTGTTTTATAACTTTGTAATGTCATCGCCTCAGTCATTTTTCTTACATTCATCCAGTCAGTTTTTTTTCATACCTATTTCTGTAAGCATTGGTATATTGCAACCAAACGCTGAACCACGCCGTTCAACCCTTGGACTTCCTAAAGACACGTCAGGCAGGCCAACGAACGCCTCTCTTGTTGATGTCTTAAGCATACCAGCTGCATCATCGAATGACATCGCCTGCAGTCAAATAACCAGCGGTTAACCTTAAAGGAAGTAGTCTCCAAGGTTGTCATTAATGTAAAAGTTTCCAGCTCCAAGTGAGCTAAACTTTGGTTCCTATTTGCTTTGTGTAGTGTACAACCGCCTAGATAGCAATTACCATCACCAAAGAAAAAGAGAAACAAAATGAAGAAAATATTTATAAAAACTTTCACAGAATAACGTAGACCAGCTGAGTCTTTTACACAAAGTTAAAATCCATTTGTTGCTAATATATGGGTTCTTTATCAATTACACTTTGAAACCTTCTCTTCCCCGAGGTTAGTATTATTTTCAGGCTTAAAGTTCCACCACCAACCAGCATTCAATGCGGCCGTGGCTTGAATTTCTCACATAAAATTAGCCATTTTGAGGTGACTTTAAATATGCGCACACAATCTATTCCATCCGTCGATTTTACGATCGAATCTTACAACACCTCCATTCATGAGCATAAAGGGCTAATAAAGAGTAAGTTTCTTGCTAATAGTACGAAGTATTTCTATTCAAAGATAAACAAAGCTTCGAGGGGAATACTTGCTGCCATTTTCACTATATGATCTCTACTAAGCTAATGATACTAACAAAACCCTTTACCTTGAGATTTAACGATGCCAAGACTGACTGTTTATCAGCAAGTTTTGGRTCAGCGGAGTTTCCCGCCGTGGTGGACGAWAGGAATACWACCATGTCAGCTAGATTAGCGTTGACCGCACGAAGATCCGCACGACAGAATGGAGATCCCTACGAGATCAGCATSMGTTTAGTCAAGACCTGTATGCTTATGACATATCAGTAATTTCCAGTYCCAYTAGATGGTCCAACTCGACTAMTACGCATGCTCACGCATGTACTACGAGTCAATCCCACATGGAACAGTCTCTTAGCTGAGCTCCCATTGATTTCACGCTGATATATGCTTACCGGTAGAATATGCACATTATCAAAACTGCCAACATTTTCCCACTGTAGAGAAATAATGATGTACATATTAGGAAACTACACAGGGATACCATAGACTATTATTTCAAACTAACAATGCAATGTCCACACAACTATCGTACCTCTCTTTTCAAATAATCWTTGTCACCGAGGAAGACAATCTGTTTCARATCACTTTGCTGTAAATTGCTTGCTCGTAAAGGCATGACCTTGAAAYAAAATATTTCCKTAAACACACATTCTTAAAAATTACGATTTTTACGTTTAATGAAATAAAATAAACGTAAGCAATATCTTGCGTTAAACGTCACTWAAATCACGTAACCGTAAGGAGTTTACCAGCTGCCGTAGTCCAAGTAGTGGGTCATCCTTTTGGTTGAAAACGCAAACCAGGATGTGATGCGTAAAGACAATATCGTAGGCTTTCTCGCGAGTCTGAAATGGAACGGGTTAACATTACGCAACGGAAATTAAATCACGGCAAAGCGTTAGTAGTACGCAGGGCGCTGAGCGTACTAGACGTACCAGTATTGAGTCTTCGTAAGGCCTTGTTTCACACCAATAAAAGGTACCAGTGACATCGAAAAGAGGTTTCCCGCCATTCCCACCAGTAACAGGTTTGTTTTCTTTAAGACTGAAACAACACAAATAAACAATCGATATGAAGCAATTCACGACTTTCATTATGACGTCACAGTATGTTTACATCGGAAAACGATGCTCAAAAACACTGGAAATTTCGACCCATTTACGTTGTCTCCTAAAGTAGAACTTCAGTGAATCGTGTTTTGATATATATCATGTATAAATGATTGTTCATGTACATTTTATTTGATATGCAGTCACTCTGGTCCCTTCTGGCGACCATAATCCTTTGCGTTAAAACAATAGAATGTTTTGATGTGACGTCATAATGAACTAGGGCAATTCACGACTTTCCATACTCAGGTCCAGTGCCCAAACGAAGCATTGAACCGAGGCTTCAAGGTAAAGTGAGCATAAACGAAAAGATCAGTGTTCCTTGACGCCTCGCTTCAATGCTTTGGTCGTAGTCACTGGACCCTAGTATGGAAAGTCGTGCATGTGTTTTTGAAAACRGAAAAAGGAATGAAAAACCAAACGTTGAGTTGCGTTTTCTCGTAGTTCAATAAATCGAATGATTAAGAGTTTGAAACGACTCTTTCGGAAAATTCCATTTCATTTTACTCAGAGTGCACTCTTATAACAAGAAGGAAATACCGAAAATGCTTAACATTTTAATCTAAGTTGATGTTAGATATTTTCGGTATTTTCTCAACTTATAAGCTTGCCCTGGATGCACTCATTGCAAAACGATTGCAAAACAAGTCGATAACGTGCGGTAAAAATAAATTCATGTTATCAATAAACTATTAATGATTAAAATTCGCATATATTTGCAAATTTATTGCTCATAACTATTTTATAGTTTTCAGAATTTAAGTCATTTTGACTCCATGCTTTTAAAATCTTGCTTATCTCATGCACATGCGCGGATAATTCTTTTAGATTACAATGAATTCTAATAATCGTGAATGATCTCTAGGATACTTGAATGAACGTTGATGATCTTGAATGGTCTATAACGAGCTTCAAGTATCTCTGACGATACTCAATGATCCGCAATGATCTCAAGCGATTATCTTGAACTACTTCAAAGGACCCGTTGACGCTTGCTTTTTTTGCAGCGCGATAATCGCCACTTTGCTATGGCGCAACTCAAATCGTACGTTTAAACAGCCCTGCGATTATTGCAGCGATGGAAAATCGTTGCAGGCAATTTTAAAGCATGTTCGCGCGACGATTGCTGTGAGAATCGCACTTGCAAAAATCGCAAGTGTAAACGGGCCTTAAAGCCTGTTTTCAGATCGTTACAATGGCAGGAATTACTGAGACATTATCTCAGCGATTCCGGCGATTTTACGAAAAAACTCTCCAGCGACACTGGCGATTAAATCGGAGCCACAAGAAGATCGATCAGTTACTAAAATGCGATACAACCAATCGCAACGATTATATATAAACGAGGTTTTTTAAAGATTTTGATCGATTCTTGATGATTTTTACAATCTTAAAGAAAGGATCTCTAATAATCTCTAATAATGAYGAATGATCCGTTATGATTTTCAATKATCTCTAATAATGAGTGATTTCTTATATCATCTCTCATGATCTTGATCGACCATTTGACTACGTACAGAATGAATACGAACGGTTCTGATGCTGACCATTCGTTGGATTAAATCAAGTCTGGTATACATACTCATTATAGATAGCTAATCCGTCCGTGCATGCTCCACTAAATCTAGAAAATTGATAAAATGTTAAGTTGAAAGGTGACGAAAATCGTATTCATGATGCCGGAAGCCATACGAACGAGATACGAACGAGTTTGAGTTTTTGTGTTGAAGAATGGCGATTGAAAGGCATAGTACGTCTAAAGGTGGACTCCAAAAGTGAACGAGCCTTCCTACCATGTGGGAACAAGAGATGACCAAGTATGCGCATGCGTATTGAGCAATGCTTTGCTAGAGCAATTAAAGGAGTGTAAATAGAATATATTGGTAAAACCCCCAGAATTAACAAGCCGAGTTGGAAGCAAATTCAAAAGATTAGCAGTGTTAAAAGAAAAGATACAAACTTCCAAGTGACGTCATGAGCGTATAGACACATTGTATGACGTAATACTGGACGTTTAAGATGACGTAAGTAAAGTAAGGCAAATATTCATGAGTTTAAAGACATGCAGAGTATTAAATGAATCCCACGTCAGAATCGTGCAAGCAAGCACCCCGTTATGACGGCATGGATAYTTAAGAAGGGATAATATTAAGTTGAATAGTTACAACATGCTGGGTATACAATGAATCCCACGTGATGTGACGTCATGTGCATCCCACGTGATTTGACGTCATATGCATTTAAAGGATGTATGCAAGTAAAGCTGAATATCGAGGCGATTGAAAAGTGTAACGATGAAATATTTGAATTGAGCATGAATTTGAAACTGGAAGAATTGATTGCACTATTTAGCCTTTGTTTGTATACGAAATAGACGAAATTATGAAATTAAAGAAAAGATTGAAATTAAAAGAAAAACATAAATGAGCAACATATACATTAAGAAATAGAAAAAGGTAAAGATATGTAAAACATTTTTTGACAAAACCACATGCACCATGTGTGCAGTTGAAAAGAGTTGCAAGCCAATACATGCACCCATTATATKAGAGTTTGCCATCACCRTGTGTGACCCATCAGAGGTGTAAGCTTGAGTTAAGTAAAGAGAATGGAAACTAACACATGCRCACCCCAAAGAACAAGAAATGACGTCACTGACCTTGAGTGAGAGGCGGTTGCTTCTGGCAACAAGCCTGCTTGACTATCATCGACCTTGTGAGCGTCCTCAATCACACTGATAATGACGTATTAGTTAATAACACTAGTAAAATTAATATAGAGGGCCCAAGTATAGATCCTTGAAATACCCCTTACATACAGCAGTAGTGCTGAGTAAATAATA